CTGTCGAGCCTATTCATGGCTATTACAGTACATAACAATAGACAATTGTTAGCTTAGTCTTCTTTTAAAGTTTAAATCTACCGTTCGAAATTACTTGAATATCTCAAAACATTAATTCGTTACTATGACAGATAATGAAATTGGTTGGATGATATACTTTATCTCTATTGATAAAGTGATATAAAAATATAGAGTAGAATCAATATTGCATTCTAAATATCAACATAAATTTGATCGACATTACACTGTTTAACATGATATTGCTGCATAAACATTGGCAGAAATTAATTATTTAAGTGTTACCTATCTAGATATTAGAATAACACAGTAATAAAGAAATATTTCACTGAATATTTTACTGCCCCAATGTTTTGTTACGTTTTTCACACTTCAGGAGGCAAACGTTTTTTATGGATTCTCATCACCGAACATAATTCGTGGAGCGTAACCGCTGGCTTAATCTTGACTTCATCATTCGTCAACGTGCTCTCATTATTCGAGTCTAACTTATTCACTTTTTACTTATACAATCATTGTATCGTTAGGTACACTCGATAATAGTTGTTTAAAACTATTTGCTCTTCGTGCTTTGGAAATTCAGTGCAATTTGTTGAAATAAATGCAATTATTGCAATTATTTATTGTCTTTGGACTATTTCAGCATCGATATTTCTTCGACTTCCGCAAAACTCGTTTAAGGCATGAAATTTAATTTATAATGAACTTTTAATTCACCATTAATATATAATCGTGAGAATTATATTTATAAATATAAGGCATTTATTTGAGTTTCATGTACTCAGATCTCTGAACCTCTGAATTATTTAAATTCAATAAAATATTTTCGCCCAATTTAACTCGGTATTGAATGGTAAAGGTTTATGTTAGAGGGCAACAATTATTTATAATATGTATCAACTATCGTGATAAAATGACAGATTAATCAAGTCTTACACCAAGATGATAATATGAAATCATTATGCTAGATGAATCGCTAGTTATGTCAAATATAAGACATATTCTACTCGATCGTACGTCGTAATCGATTACGTCGGTTACACTTTGTAGCGTCGCTGGGCATATATATTGATGAAATAGCTCGATATAATACAGGTTCATAAAATATTTCATTAAAATGACCTTGTCTGAACCTTAATTTGACGTTATAACAGTATACATCAATAAGATATCTGGTTCATCATTAACGCTGGAAATTATAGATTTACGCAACATCAATATGCGTTTTTTAAAACGTCAATGAGAGTATATATAGATAGCGTTTATAAATCGATGTTTTCACGACTCGATTAAGTTACATTTTTATTCAACGCTACTTCATTAACGCAGGCATTCAGCAATATTACTGGACCTTTTCAGTTTTTAATATTGACCAGGCTAGACGTTGTTAAAATTCCATTTATGGAATTGCTCTCAATGTGGTACGTACCGTCAGGGCTGATCGGCAACAAATAGCGTCACATTAAATGCGCTTGGATAATGGTTTGACAGTCGGCAATCGGCATGTACCTATGACAGGAATACTGTACGCGTGCAGTGAGCGTTGCTATAGCGATGTTGTTGGCATGTTGTTAGCGCGCTCGAGGACGCAGGATACTCCGCAGGATACACTGCTACACTGCTATGCTGTCGCGCGTGCTTTTAGCTCTATAGCGCGTGCGTGTCGCGTGATACCGTATTTTAAATAAACATCACCTGCATCGAATTCGGTAAATACAGTGAAAACTTTGAACAAATAATATTGTTGTGATGGAATGGGATTAGCCTAATACTTTGTGAAATCACAATTTTCGTTTCTGTAAGTGGTATAAATTAGGAGGTGATTTACATTTTCACACATCGAATCTGAGTAGCGGCCAAAAGCAAAAATTACTTAATAAAAATATTTCGCTTTCGAAATAGTGGGTGCTTGAATTGCGTGGGAAGAAAATGGACGAGCTTCGATTACTTTAGTTGTCACTAGCTCCAAATCTGATGATTGCGACACGCCCGAGCGAAGCCTGTTACCTTCTTTGTACGTCCATCAACTGCTGCCGATTGCGTCTTACAGGACTGAACGCCGTTACCGTGTTAGTGACTACGATGCTACGAGCTAACCGACACATAGATAACTCAGTTTTGATTCCGCACTCTACACGCACTGAAGCTCACAATTGCTCACAAACCGGCGCCCGTAACTCCTTGCCTCAATTGTTCCTGCATTGGCGCTCAGGCGCCGATTTTACGGGGTTACCTCAGATGTGCAATTAGCCCTCTATTCTTCTAAATCAAATCAAATTGATTTCCTATTTAATGTTTTTCGCTCAAGAAGTGCGTTATTTTCTCTACGTTACCTGCGAAGATCATTATTTAAACCTTAGCCTTAAGTCTGTATCTCAAATTTCTAAAGCATCAAACCTTCTACTGTTATTGCTATTTTTCCCGTCCAACTTCCTACCCCTTGAACTGATTTCCACTATTTTCCATCAATTATTCTTCCTTCATAAAGTGTTTACCACACTGGGCATTTAAACATCAGGTTCGTAATGTTTTCAGTGCAAAAGTGAAATTTTGATCATTTGTTTAAACTATAATTTCTTAAACTTTCGCAAGATTTATAATTTGAATTCATTTCTTTACAGTATTCCTTAATCCGATCCTGAGACTGACCGGCCATAATTTATTTGTACGTCACGCATTAGTCACCACTTTCTTTCATCGAGTGACCAACCCGCCATCTTCACCTTCACGTTCACCATAAACTGATGATTGCACTTTTGGATTCGGTGCTCATTGACTAAATATTTTCGCCATTACTATTAAGCTAAATCATTCGAACTCAAACTCTAGATTTTGTTTGATAAATCAAAATAAAAGCTTCCCAGATTATTTCTTTAATTAAAGAAATACCTCACAAGGGAACGCTCTACGGTGCCCGTGTAGGGAACGCTCTGCGGTGCCCGTGTAGGGAACGCTCTACGGTGCCCGTGTAGGGAACGCTCTACGGTGCCCGTGTAGGGAACGCTCTACGGTACCCGTGTAGCAGGAACCAATAGCTGGGACCTGTAGCCGTTTGACGGAAGTTGTTAAACATAGGAATTTGTGAAAAATATTTGGCAGAGATGTCCTCTTTTTGGAATCCTCATTTGGTGCTGCCAGTTGCAAAGAAATGTGGCACTTATAATCTTTAACTCTATCATATGATTCTGCTAAAATGTCTACACATTTTGGCATCGCTCGTTTTTCAATCACCAGAAGACATCGCAATCACCTTATTTTTATTATTTTAAAATTGAAACTTTGCTAGACGCACTTCAAATAATTACTACGAAAAATATCCGATAACGCGGAAAAGTCTTTGTCGGATGCCGTACGAGTATATGAGAAAAATGGAGAATACATATGAAGCGAAAAATAAAAATGGGTTTTCGGTATGTTTAATTTAAATTATTCATTTATTTTATTTAAGTTTTCCAGGAATATTTTCAAACCTGTTGATGTTCGATTGAAACCGTTGCTTATTTTGAAAACAGAGATTGTATGCGAATCGTTTAGAAATTATTTATTTGCTTGCGGATGCTATGACGAAAAATACAAGTAATGATTTTCGAGAATCTTAATAATTTCAAGTAAAAAACATTATTTTTCACTCTTAAATGGGAACATCGAAAAAGCTATGCATCAAAAAATCATTATTAATTTTTTTTACTGATGGAGGAGTGCTTGATATGATCGATTATTAGTGGACCTTAACGAAACGATTGAATTGAAATTAGTATTTTCAATTTGAAATGTTGGACATTCATTTACCCAATAGCGTTAGAAATTATAAAGGAGCTTATGAGGTCCAAAGTTTTCCAACATAACGAAAAATATTCGGAGCCACACCATGGAGTTCAGGACACCGGAAATTTCCAGAGTGAATCGCTTTAATGCTTAATTTATCGGCCTAATTTTTGTACTTTCACGTACATTAATTTCCATTCATAGCCAGAAAATTTTCGGCTGCGAGACTTGAATACCTGTAAAAATAGAAATATATTAACTCATGAGGATAAGTGCTAAAATAATGATAAATTTAAATGGTTAATCTAAATATATTAATGCTGAAAGATTTGTGTTAATATGATCAATAATTCATTAGGTATAAATTTCCGAAAAAGGGGTTATTGTTGCCGGTGATTGCCTCAAAGTTCGTCAAAATAAATAAAAATGCCGGGATAAGGGTTAAAAAGTAGCGCGATTTATTGTATAAACTATTAGGATGAGAAGCAATAATATAACAATTCCAACGTTCCCATGAGTAATATGATTTTTCCTGTCAACTCGTGTAATGTCTCTAAACCATATAAATGTTAAGCTCAAAACTTGCCATAAGTCATAATAATTTTTCTTTTGATCAATATACTGAATATAGAGATAGACGAAGAGAGTGAGAAAGACACAAACTGTTAATCGAGTAACGTGTCTACGTTACGCTGTATGAAGTTTATTGAATTTTTCTCACAAATGAGGCCATTCGGATTTATTTAGTCATCCGCAACTTACTAGATAATTGTTGATAGGTTAAACTTAAGAATCAAAATCTAATCAAAATGCTCTCACAGTTCGTCCGTTCCGAGGTTGGGTGTTGCGGAAATTGTCCACCAGAGGAGCTCCGATTTTGATAAAAACTTTTCAGGTGCACATGAGAGGAATATGAGTAGATTTTGATGGTGTCAGTAGTATATGCAGATCAAGTGTTATATATCATCGCTAAATTATTACTTTTTTCAAATTTGAATTAATTTTTTAAGCTTATAACCAAGTGTACAAATTGACCTCTGATAAAATCGNAAAATCGGTCATTGCTGGCAACGCTCTCATCTATATTGTTTAAAATTTTTGTTTTCGTGAAACCATAAAATATTTCCGTCGCTCTCTTTACACTCTTTCATATCTTCTATACACGCTACTATAAAATATCGATTCAATCTTCGGTCAGCTATCGCAGTTTCCTGAACTGCGACGGCTTGGCTGCAGGGCGGCGTGGTGAGGCTGCCGGGGTAGCGGTAGAACACTTGCTTGTTGCGCGGCAGTAGCGCGCTCAGGGCGCTGGCTCCTTGCAACACCGCGCTCTGCTCTGTCGTGATCAAATAACAACCTAAACATGTGACCAAATAATTTAATTAATTGCCCGATGTTAAATTCATTAATGTGCTCGGGACACACCGAGCTGCTGAGCGACTACAAAGGAGGTACAAGAGACAAACCCCAAAATTACAGGCCGGTTACATTAACATCACACGTAATCAAAGTATTTAAGAAGGTTGCCACAAGGTTGGCGCAGTACATGGAAGACGCTGACCTTTTCAACAGAAGGCAAAACTTTTTTAGACGGAATCGTTCCTGTTTGTCCCAGTTACTGGAGTGTCAGGTGTCTATTTCTGCGACCACCTGATGGATTTGTACTGAGGGTCTGGGTACTTGTTGTTCCAAGTGTGACTAAGGCAGGACAAGTGAAACACGATTAACGCTAGAACAATTATAATAATAAACTGGCTCGGTGAGTACAGAAGGACGGGGATTGACAGGTACAGCACAAGTATGTGCCGGAGGAGCGGCTAGCAAGATGACGGCTAGGCAGTACCGCTACAACTGACGAGCGATGCACTGCTCTGGCTATATATAGTCCTTAACAGGGATGACGTCACTAGGCGTGACTCTACCATGTCGGTACAGAACAAGCTATTAGATGGTGACGTATTATAATCTAGATGGTGATAGAAGATGACCGGACAGGAGCATCACCAGCAAATCCTGGCCATGCTGGAGGAGGGGGCCGGGGTGGACGTGGTGTATTTGGACTTCGCGAAAGCGTTGACAAAGTTGATCATGGAGTGTTCTTCAGTAAATTAAGACTCCTGGGAGTCGGAGGTGAATTGCTGGCATGGATCCACAGCTTCCTAACAGAAAGACTACAAGCTGTCGTTGTAGGAGGCTCGAGATCGAGCGAGGCTTGGGTGAAGGGTGGAGTACCTCAGGGAACGGTACTCGGCCCAATCCTCTTCCTCATTCACATCGCCGACATAGATGTGGCTGTGAACCACGCCACTGAATCGTCATTCATGGACGACACTAGGATACTAATGACCATAACGCACAGGAGGGACTGCGAGAGGTTGCAAGAAGACCTCTCTGCAATATATGACTGGGCCCAAGTGAACAACATGCAGTTCAACGGGAGCATGTTTGAGGTTCTGATAGTCCGGGGGTGCGGAAGAGCTGGTATGGAGCGCCGCTACCTAGCACCTGACAACTCGGAAATCAAAGAGAAGTGACTTGTTCGTGATCTCGGAACAAGTGAAGCGGAACCGATGATCACACTCTTTAGAACCCTTGTAATACAAATTCTTGAATACTGCTGCCAGCTCTTGACCCCGTTCACACTCGGCGCAGTGCGGCAACTGGAAGGTGTCCAGCTAACCTTCACTTCCAGGATCAGAGGGATGGAAGAGTTGAACTACTGAGAGAGGTTGAGGCGCCTGGGTCTGTATTCACTGCAGAGGAGACGGGAGAGGTATGTCATTCTGTACACATGGAAAATGATAACCAGAATGGTGCCGAACTTCGAGAGTGAGACCTTCAGGATTGAGACATATCATAACGAGAGAAGCGGGAGACTGTCAGATTTCAATCCCTGCGGGGAGGATCACTTTCCGTGGCAGGGCCAAGGCTGTTCAACGCCCTACCAAAGGATATAAGAGAGTGGAAGTTTACCCTGGAGACCTTCAAGAGACAACTGGACGTTTTCCTGGGCACAATCCCAGATCGACCTCCCATGCAACACTACCAGCGGCGAGAAGCAAGCAACAGCATCGTGCATCAGGTGGCCCAAATGAGATCGGATGAACGACAATCAGAGGCGGCGATCCATCGTGGCCTGGGACTGCTACTTCCCAAACAAGTACAAGATACGAAGACTATTATAGGCTCACTTATGTGTTGGTAGGTCGTGTGTGTTTGTTAATGCAGAGGTCTTAGCATCAGTGCGATAGGAATATTCAGTGTAAATTAGGTTTGAGAAATTATATCAATATCAGAATATAAAATTCAGTGATGAACAGATTGAGGTGATAATCCCGGTAAAACGTTTGGACAAAACGGAAGAATTAAATGCTGGAATTTAAGCGACAATCAATTTATGTTATTTCAAGCATTTAAAGTCACGAAACGTGTGTTATTGATTGGCCATAAGCATTTCGATTTTTTTGGTCACGTCCTATAATTCTACGTGTTCTGTAAAAATTAAACACCGTCGTCTATGAAAAAATGATTTTTTAGATGTACCTCATAGGCTTACCGCTAACGGTTCAATTTTTGTAATAGATTCCTGATGCTTCAAAAATTTAGACTTTGTAGATATTATAAAAAGCAATATGAAACAAATACTTTTGGTAATCAACTAAGTAGAAATCTTTTGGTTTTATTAAGTTAGATGCTTATATCACTAATAAAGATACAAGAGGGCATCCCAGTGAGGTGATGTGAGCAATAAGGACCTTGAAAGAAGATCGAAGATTTTTTAATCCACTCATTATTCCAACTGTAATTAAAGAAGAACAAATAAAACGAGGGTTACAAGTTCCAACATTTTGTTATGAGATATTTAATTCGATATAAAGCATGCAACATTGCGTATTACATACAATACCTCCTGATATTATAGCTGGAATAGCTTCCAAGATTGGAGTGAGAGCCTCGTTGTCGGCCGGTGATACGTGGAAGAGCACGGAGAGCACAGCCAAGCCTTGTTTATCGGCTAGGAAAGAATGCCGGTCTGTCCCTTGTTTGTTGTGGACGATATGCATCTCGGGAGGGAACCTTTGCTTGATAAAATTTCTCGATCAAATGTCTGCACTTGATATCTCAATGTTATCGTTACTTTTAGGATGAATTGTCTAGTTTATGGCATAATTCTGGGGTTAAGCTGTACGAGAGCGCGTTCTTAAAATTTTCCTTAAAATATCTACTGAGAAAAGAAAAAAGTTGCTCACTACTTACGCCCTCTGGAAAACCCGAGGGAGCGAGAATGTGCCCTGTTGAATTTGCGACTCCAAAGGAAATTTCTAGATTAAAATTTACACAATTCATTTACTGTCAGTGGGATCAATCTGGAATGCTAGAAAATGTATTAATTTGGCACAATTGAGCTGATGGAAATTCGCCGAAAAGTTCAATATGCAATCTTATTTCTCTCCGTTCATCAATGATAGAACATATAAATTCCTGTTGCTCAAAGCTCATCAATTTGGTACTTGAAAATCTAACTTCAGAAATTGTATGGTTAATTTCTTCACCATCTGCCCTCCCTCCCAGTGAAAATTTACAGACGCGGCAGCTTCTGATTTGGATTACCAGAAGCTGGGGCGACTCTAAATTTTGTTACCCAGTGAAAATTTACAGACGCGGCAGCTTCTGATTTGGATTACCAGAAGCTGGGGCTACTCTAAATTTTGTTAGGGCTCGAACATTAATGAAGTTTTAACAAGTTTTTAACATTAATGAAGTTTTGAATCAGTATTGCATAGAAGTAATAAGACACCTTTGTCCGTCAATGGTGTGTTCGGAGCCTTGCGAGTCGTCGCTGCCCCAGTGGAAGTGCAGGTTAGTCACTTCATAGACTCCGATCAATCCGCCTCCCGAGAGCAGGGGCAATCCCATGGGGAATGTGCCAGTCAAAGATACTGGAAGATTGAAAATAACGAGCGAATTACAAACCCAATAAAACGTTATAGAAAATATTTATTATAAAATTTTGTCAAAAAAATATTTGCAACCGATGAAATGAGCGTGCGGCTAGCCGATAAAAGAAAAATTGATAAAAATGCTAGAAGGCAAAAACTGGGAAAGGCTTAATGTTAATAAGGAAGCTTCTCAGAAATCAGATGAAACTTCATTAGTAAAAATTTTTTCCATTTCAATGAATGTTGTTTGCACAAGATCAACACTAGCCGAATGTGGTTCATCGAAGATGAGACAAAGTAGAGTAGTGTACATTTTTATTAATTATTAACTGAATCAACAGCAAACTCAAGCATTTGTTCTACCAGTTCAGCTTTTGGTAAGTTTAGACATTTCTTCTTGTGTTCGTAGATAAGGAGAGATCCTGTCGGCTACAGAGAAATTATTAGGCCAATTCCATTGAGAGAATTGTACGGCACCTTATTACTCTAGACCTAGAGACAAGTTGGAATCCATCTCTGCATAAGATTCGCTGAATCTATGTGGGGGATATCGAGTGGTATTTTACACAGAAAAAAATAAACACGACAATCGGCTGCCTATATACGCCCTTTAAGTCCCATAGCCACAGTGCGGCATAGATTGAGAACGGCGTATTTTGGACAACGGTCTAAAATCTTTTCTCAGTCCTATATATGATCGGAAAGTTTCTACTGTCGAGCGTGCAGTATTTAGAAGTTGATATCTGCTGCTGTACGAATTTTCAGATAACAGGCGGTTTTCAGATGGCCCATGAGTGGCCAGCGGTCGGTTAGGGCTAATTGGCTCGCTGGCCATATCTTTTTAGTCGCTTCACGTTAAGCTGGTTTTCCTCGTCCAGCTAGTGATCGCAAGGCCCTCGTGCTGATCGAGACAGTAGAATAATTTACGACGTCTGTGTCTCATCATTCTTTTCGCAACGTCTCCTAATTCCTTACTGTTCATCAGAACTGTTAGCATTCGATCATTTCCCTCTGCATGTGAGCATGCTAGTTTTTTATTGTTTTTTTTTGCAACAAAAAAAAAACAAATCGATGAGACAGATATATGAAACGCCAGGCATACTGATCAGTGGAGATTAAATATTAAAATAAATGAACTACGCATAAAAAGTTTATAAGACGCATAATTTATGAGCATAATGTGCAAATTTTTTTTTTCATCCTGAGTGTTTTAATTCGAAGGTTGTACGTTATTACTTACTGTCCAGAGAGCCCAAATAAAGGGCTATATTTGCATGGGAAATTTCAGATCACTTACGAGTGGGGTGCAGGTGAATCTACTTAGTGAAGGAGTCCCATAGAAACATTGTCATAAGTAACGCGGCTCGCAGTTCGGGCCATTAATATCATATCTGAATTATTCATCTACTCTAAATTTCAGTTAGCGCATCTAATATATTTTGTAAAGAGCTCAGAGTTTCAGAAGTGACAATGAAACCTGGAATACAATCAGAACGACAGATTCTAATAAGTTTCTTTGAGAAGAGATGTGAATGGCATGTCTACTCAAAGAGATGTCCCCACACTCAAGGTTTGGCGTGACTTCAAGTGCTAGAGGAACACTGCAGAAAGTGATGCTGCGTACATTAAAAAGTAAACTAGAACAAAACGAAAAAAACTTCACGTATCAAATATGTGAATAATATTGTTTTTAAATTTTGTGTCATTTTACTCACAAGTGTGGTGGTTGTTGGTGGCAGTTACGTTTGAAGGAGGAAACTCGTAGTTCGTATACAAGAGATCATCAACAGTCTTTGCTGCAGCAATTGAGTCCCTGATGTTGATGGGCGATTGGCGGTGCCTCGAGCAGTGGAGGGGGAACTGTAGCGGCCACTCATCTTTGTCTGCGTCACATAATTTCAGTTAAATTATGTTATAAGCGACAAGAATGATATAAAGTAAGTAAAGGGTGCAAAAAGCCTGACACCAGTGTGCTTCAATTATATAGAATAGAAACAATATTGCTTTCAAATGGCATCCAGTTGCTTCTACCGTAAAAAAATTAATAATGGAAAATTGACTATATTACTTTACAATAGTATTAATTACTCTATTGGCACATTACTCCGCTGAGCCGTCGCAATCAAACTAAGGAATGACTTCCTTCTTCTCTGAGGAGGGTGGGTTCAAGACAGGAGTCAAGTTATCAAAGACAATAAGTTGTACTCTACTTACTGTATGGCAGAAAATTTTGCTGATATATGTATAATAACATTTCTTAATTATATTCTGATCGTAATAATGCAATATTTCTCTCGATGGCATATAAATAAATAGGGTTCAAAATCGTACTGAGTTGTACATTAAACATACCTTGATCTTAAATTCAAATTTAGATTTCATGAAGTGGTAACAGATGCGTCTTAATAACTTCATTTAAACAGAAATTCTCGACAAACGGGATAAAAATTCGAACTAAGTATTTAGGTAAATAAAATCATTTTGATAGTACCCCGCAATCATATTTGAATTGTTAGCATTCGTAAAATAACAAAAAATGTCTTCCAAATAATTTTATCTTGAATTTGTTAACTTCTGTTATGATATCGGTGTGGTCAAGCATTTGGTTGGCATGTGTTGCTTGCTCTCACCATCGTACTTGTAGGATGATGGGTCACCACCTGAAAAACGAAGGTTCAATTCAAGATTATAAGCTTCAATTTCTATACGTCATCAATCTTAATTTCTCTATGAAAAAAATATTTTAATTATGTTGTTTCACTCGATTATAAAATTGATAGTGAATGATTAAAACTGTATTCCTTGATTATCTAAAGACATTTCGGACTGATAATATCACAAATTAAGTTTCAAGTTATAATAGCGATAAGTTCATATTCAACATTGTGTCTTAAACTTTGAATGCTTTTTAATTACTCTTCATTTTCGTCTGTCAATGTAATTCTAAAGGTAGCAAACCTTATTCTACGTAAAATTTCCCGAATATTTAATTTACTTCAATCGTTTGAGAATATACAGTAATTTGCCGGTAACTAAATGCCTGCCATCTTTAATGTCTAGGGGTCTCCAAACTTTTCAACGTGCGGGCCACATTATATATTTCCCATATTTATGCGGGCCGAAAAAATAAAAAATAAAAAAAATCAGTGCCTGTGATTTTATTTACTCAAATATTGAAGTATGAACATGGAAAAATCTGAAACATAGGGGTAAACATATCCATATCTGAAAACAAAAGTGTAAAATAACTGAAATAAATTCTACAAGTAAATTCTACAGGAAAAAAACGGCTTGTATATGTAGTGTTAAAAGCATAGCATATTATTATAAAGTGGTAAATATTATGGCAACAGCTTTCGTTGATAAACTTAATGGTTGCAATTTTAACTATTTTAACCATGCAATATCTTTGGCTACAATAGTATTATTGCTATTTTGTATAAATAAGGTAAATGTATTGCCAAAGTGCCAAAGTGCAGAGAAAAGAATATTGAACAGTGCTGTGCTCCCTGAAACGGAAGCAGCGAAGCCCCACGTACTCGGCCTCCATCCCCACAATATGCAGTTATACACAACTGATTGGTCGTAATGCACAACACATACCTGCCAGTATTAGTATTTGTACGTCACACTATCGAGAGAGAGGAAAACTGACTCGTGCTGAGCGCCACCAGTCAGCAGGTCACAGCTTTTAATAATTCTGAGATGTCATTCATACAATAATTATTTATTCATTTCACGATTTCATCCCGTGGGCCGGATGAAATTATGTGGCGGGCCGGATGTGGCCCGCGGGCCATAGTTTGGAGACCCCTGACTCTAAGATACAAAAAAATTATATATTTAAAATACAATAACTTGATTGTAACTAATGAACTCTACCAAATAAATGACTAAAAATGACAATGTCAATTCCGAGCGAGTCTATCCTGAACAAAGCGAACTGATTTTGGGCTCAAATTTCTCTCTTATAGTGTACATGAAATTTTTGCTATAGTGGTTCGAGATATTGAACGCATCAAAGGAATACACCAATTTCCGATTGATCACTAACATGCGGTCTGTAATAAGTGGCATCTTTGATTCAACATAAAAATGACAGTCAAGCAGCAGTACACAGCATTTTTTAGAAATGTTTGATGTAAGTTGTTGCTGGTGATTTATTCTTCTTACCGACAAATATTCCCAGTGATATGAACATCATTAACGTCACTACAAGGTGCATCTTGACACTAAGACAGCGAGGTCCTGACTGGACTTCATCTAGTCCCCTCTAAACTTTAATTCCATGTGTGTTTGATGATCAATATCTTTCCACCCTTATCTGTTGTAAGCTCAGGCTTTTCTTCCTAATTAGCTCTGGAACTTATGTAACCATATGTTACTTGGTTGTTCCATTGAAAAGGCTTAGTGTGGACTTAGGCCTTGGTCGAATCTGCGTAGTCTGAACAGAAGACAAATTATGCGCACATCAGTTTTAGGACGCATCTTGACAATTCCATAGGCCTTAGCCATAATATAATTTTTTACTCGGTTTTGCATGTATGCCAGGTTCGGTATATGAATTGATGGTCTGAAGAATTTATGATGAAGCTCAAACCATATAGCATCTATTCAGTTATTATAAATCATAAATTTTTAAAATCATCATATCATAGAATTAGTTCCTTGATCCTCTTGGGCGTCTCTTTCAACACGAGATACTCGTAAAATAATCTCGAAAACAGACAAGTTCCGCTAACGTAATGCATTGTTGTGTAATTATTGTTGTGTAATGCATTGTTTAGACATAGTTTCTGCTAATAGATTACGCCCAGAAACTTTGTTTTACTTAGCTCAGCCCATCATGCTGAAGGCATCATTTATAAGCCATCTTTGGTCAAATTGGTTATCCGTAAACATTGCATGTTTGCGAACGAATGGGTCAGCTTCACGGCTGAGTGTTAACGAGTTATTCGGCATTCAAATTCGTCTGAAACTGTTTTTGAGTATTTTATTTCAAGTTAAGATTGACATATTTAATTTAGGGAGTACGACAAAGAGGAATCCTTTCATAGATAATTATTGCAGAAAAAATATTATATATATTATAATGATATATTTGTCAAAGTTCGTGGATTTGTGTGTATGTTTACAACATGGAGCCACAAATACGAGTATATATATGGGCTATTAGGGAGCACATACATGATACTCATCCTGTCGGGATACGAAAGAGAGGATTGTTCTGAAAATTGAAATTTGCTTTTGGAATAATTTTGAAGCATAAATTAATTTCACAAGACGTCAAATAGTTTGCTCCATATTTTCAAAGAAGATTAAAATGGGAGTCCTATCTTCTATGTGAACGGGTTGGCAATGGTCCTTATTCAATTAGAGTACATATAAGCATCATCATTGGGATTTTTAAGATTTGTGATTACGGAATTACGGGAATGACCTGATTGAGATTCCAGAGTGCAGGAATTATCTAGCCCTGGCAACGCCGGGCTAACCTGCTAGTTACTGATTATTATCCATTTGAAAACATGCTAATGATTCAGTGCAAACTTTTTTTATGACTATTAAACATTTCTGATGCTGCTGATGATCATTTTGCCATCTTCTGATGAACATTTTGCACGCTTTAAAACGCATGTTCGTTTTGCGCGATATAAAGACAGAAACATTAAATATTAGTACAGACGAGAGACAAAAAAAAAAAGAATAATAACACACAAATACACTTAGATAGGGTCGAATGATTGAGCAGTATGGTAGCCGTGCCTGGAGATCAATGTTGCATCATTTTAAATACTGATATCGATGTACCAGCTTTATAATTTAAAAGTTCGAACGTTTCGATTGCTCAATTTTTTCATGTAATGAGTTAGGTGCAGTTATAGATTGAGGATGCAATCGCTTACTGGTAAATATTATTCCCGGAAGATTGCATAGGAATATGAGTTCGAATGTGTTTATTTCCGTTTTATATAATCATGATCCTGTAAATATTCAGGGGCTATTCGGGCGCATATCCTGAATACTTAGTTTGATAGTTTCTGGATCCTTCTTACATATATGGAATATCATCTCTGTTGTGGGATGAAAAACTGGGGCTGCATTAAATGATTGAAGCAAATTTTATTCAATTGTTTGAAATTATTTTTTACAAAACAGTTGGAGTGATATGGGCTCTTTTAATTGATGAGTTTCGTCGAACAGGTGTTTATTTAATTCTTATTATACTTCAGTTCGAGAATACAAATGGTAAAAGAAATGTCGACTTGACAAAGGTGATTGTCAAATCTAAAGGGCAACTCATCCTGATAAATATTAGTAGGTGCATCGATTATTCAACAAGCTTTAAAAACATTTACTCAATGAATGATTACTATATTAAACCTATTTGATGGTGCATTTTAGGGTTGAACAGCCACATCCAAATTACTGATGCTTGTGTTTGAGGATAACCCGAGAGTTTTAAAATAATTTTTTAAAAGCTGGGAATATAATAGATTTAGAAATTCAGTGAAGACACTTTGTGTTACTGGGATAAAAGGCATGGTACAATTTGAAAATCTTAATCTTACAGGAAGCAATATATAAACTTTATGCAAATAGTAATAGTCACATGATTATTTATTTTGCAATCGTAAATATAATCACTTAATTTCATGACTCACTGATATTTCTGGTATTATTTTGTCTCATCGTATTTCTTTTCAGTAAACGAAGGATTTAAATGATTTTAATGTATGCCAGTTCACCCTATCGTACATGGCTTCTGGTAAGATGAGATTTGAGCTTGATATGTGGTCACCATTTATGCGCGATGAAATAATTTGCTTACATAGAAGCTCATCAAATTGGGTAATACACGAAATAAATTGCATTTCAATGAATTTTTTAAAATTCATGAATGAATTTTTTAAAATTCATTGACGGCAATAAATTTGGCAAACGAGACAGGGATGAAATTATTCACTCATATATGTGATGACTTGCGTTATAATTTGACATTATGAACAAACAAACTTTAATTTCTACAGTACAATGTGCGAAGAATAAAGGCTAAAACTAAAAAAGTTGCATAAAACATTTTACTGAATAGAAGTCCTAGATAAACGGAGGTATGTGTCGACGAGGAATGAAGAGTTCGCCCACGTGACGTCGCGTACCCACAAGAGGAAGCTTGTGAACCTCCGCATCGACGGAGAAGTTAAGTCATGTGACCCGGATAAAGTTATTTTCAATTTTAGTTCCGTTCAACTGTAGCCTAGAATTAGAACACTGTTAGCTTTCGGTTTAGATTTTTGTCTGCCAGTTTTCAAATTAGATTTCCATAGATATTTTTTAGCATTTGAAAAGCTCGTATATAGTGTGAAATCCTTAAATTGTCAAAATCTCCCTGTGTTCACTGAGAAGCTTAAAATTGTTGCAAATAGATATTATTATAACTTCAAGCCATTTAAAATATTTTTCGCTATTGCTACCAAGCAGGATTTAGTTGAACTTCGAAAATTTGCTTCTAATCGTGATATAATTGTAAGTAGGCCGGATAAAGGGCGAGGTGTGGTCATTATTGATAAGGTTAGGTATCTGACTAGTATGACTTCTCTCATTTCGGACCGCACTAAGTTTATTGAAATTTTAGATCCTATACAAAAATTCACTTTGAGAGTAGAAGACAAAATTAACAACATTTTGCGTAAGGTTAAAGCCCTCAAATTAATTACCGATGATGTTTATAGCCGACTATTTGTTTCTGGTTCAGGTCCTGGAGTTCTATATGGGCTTCCCAAAGTTCATAAGGCTAATTTCAATACAGATTTTCCTTTTCGGCCAATCTTTTCAGCTTGTAATACTCCTAGTTTCAATTTGGCTAAATTTCTCGTACCTATTTTGTCTCCATACACGCAAAATCAATATACAACTGAAAATTCTCATATGTTCTCCAATGAAATTTCGACTATAAAAAATGCTAATACAGTCGGTATGACCGCACGAGCACTTTTCACCAGAGTTGCCGAACATGCTGGAAGAAGTTTCCGTACTGGGCGTCCACTTGCTCAGCCGCCTCATTCATCAGTCAGACTTCATGCAGAACAGTGCTCACTTGCTCCTCCCGTGTCCATCAATCAATTTTAAATTCTTTGTAACGCTAGCAGATAAACCGATCTACGAATTTTAGAGCCTCTTTACATCCATAAACTTAAACCCAAATTGAATAACCAATCCAGCTCTTTTCCTCTTTCGATTCTAGGTCAATAGTTGTGTGTTTTTTTCCTTTCTTTCCTTATCATTTTCTAAATTTATTTACTAAAATTGATTTCCATGTATTTCCAGATGTTTTTTACTAGCTGATGATGGGCATAGCCCGAAACGTTCTGTTTTGTTTATCTAGGACTTCTATTCAGTAAAATGTTTTATGCAACTTTTTTAGTTTTAGCCTTTATTCTTAAACTTAGATGAACTCCTCGAGATATTGTGAACAATGTGCGAATCGATAACATACATTTGTGATAACAGGAAATGAAGCAAACCCTTGAAGCCTATAAATTTATTTTCTCACGGTTATTTTCCTGATCATATAGAATTAACAGACAGATTCTAAATGACAAATTTCAGAGCCACGAGGAAGGCGATTTGTCTCATTAGACTTCAGCTCGGGTTGACTTCCCGGGTAAATCAAGGGGCTTGCTCGTGCAACTCAATCCGTAGTAAAATGAAAATTTCATAACATGAAACGACTTACTTTGTGGCCATGAAATTCACCTTAATAGATACCGCACATGAATAGATGGATTGACGATTGTCTTGCTTGTTTTGACAGGCAAGTTGATTTGATCATAATTAACACATTCACAATCTGAAACGAAACACAAGACGGAAATTATCGCAAGAGGCAAATCCGAAGTACGGGCTGTTTTTCGCAATAAGGTCATCAATAAATTCTTGCTAACGTGTTCTTATAATAAAAATACTTTTAAGACTATGATTATTGTTGAAATAATTTGTTAAAGTGTTGAAAAGTTTCATAAATTGAATACCTTAGCAATCATCTTAATATTATACATAACAGATAAATCATTCATATCGAACATGCCTGATGATATAATAAAAATGATTAGTTTTTATTTGAAACCCGGCTTTAATAGAAAGTCTTACCTCAAAACTTATCAACAAAATGAACTGTTTAACGCTTGAATATCTTTATGATTTCTCCAGTAATTTTTTATGATTGAATCGTATGTGA